TGCTGCTGCTGCTGCTGCTGCTGCTGCTCTTGGGAGGCGGGGTAGGCCCGAGACCGGTGCTGCTGCTGCTGCTGCTGCTGAAAGACAGGACCGATATGGGGCCGCCGCCGCCGCTGCTGCTGCTGTAGCTGCCAGTGCTGCTGCTGCTGCTGCTGTCGCTGCTGCTGCTGCGGTGGCGGCGTAGGCCGCCGCGACAGAGCAGCAGCAGCCGTTTTCCTGAAAGACTTTTGGCGAGAGCTGCTGCTGCTGTTGCTGCTGCACCAGAAGCAGCAGCAGCAGCAGCAGCTGCTGCTGCTGCTGCTGCCGGTCTTGCCCAGCAGCTGCTGCAGCGCGGCTTGCAGTAGCGGCAGCGAGGAGTTGGCTGAGGTGTACGTACAGCTGAAATAGACAAATAAATAAATAAATAAATACATAAATATTTTTATTATTTATTTTTGTGCAGATGCAATAGGCTGCTGTGGCTTAAGGGCCCCCGAGCCACAAGGCCGCCGCTGCTGCATGCAGTTGCTGCTGCATGCTCTGCTGCTGCTGCTGCTACAGCAGCAGCAGCAGCAGCAAATGAGCAGCTTCAAAGAGACAAAAAAACAAACTTTTTAATATAAAGCGGTGCGAATGAGAAAGCAGATGAAGATGGAAGCTACAGACACTAGGAGACAACTCACGTGGACCCTAAACCCTAAACCTTAAACCCTAAACCCTAATTTGGAGAATTGTTGTTCGACTTTCGGGTGTCTGTACAACCCTCGTCGCCCCTTTTGTCAACTCCATTTTCTTTCTTTTATTTCCCGCCGTGTCTGTTCCCAGGCTTAACCTTCACTAGGCTAGCTATCTAGCAAGCTAGCTAGCTAGCTAGCTAGCTAGCTAGCTAGCTAGCTAGCCAGCTAGTCTAGCTAGCTAGTTGGGCTGGCCAGCGACTCAGCTAGCTCTCCAGTTAGGCTGGCTAGCTGGATGGCTAGCTAGCCAGCCAGCTAGCCAGCTAGCTGAGCGCTCAGCCAGCTAGCCAGCTTCACAGCTAGCCACCTGGCCACCTGGACACGCAAGTCCAGCTAGCCAGATAGACAGGTGTTCAGCTAGCTAGCTAGCTAGAAAGCTAGCCAGCTAGCTAGCCAGCTAGCTAGCCAGCCAGCCAACCAACTACTTCGCTAGCTAGGTAACTAACTAACCACTTAGTTAGCTAGCTAGCTAGCCAACTAGCTAACTAACTGCTTAGCTAGCTAGCTAGCTAGCTAGCTTAGCTAGCTAGCTAGCTAGCTAGACAACTAGCTAGCTACTTCGCCGGCTAGCTAGCTAGCTAATTAACCAACTGGCTACTTTGCTAGCTAGCTAGCTAGCCAGCTAGCCAAGCTGTGTCATGCCACCCGGCCAAAACGCCGAAGGCAAATGTAAATTCGAATAAATAATAATAATAATAATCAAATAAAATAAATAAATAACTGATTAAATAAATAATAAATAAATAAATAAATAAATAAATAAATTGATAGATTCAGAAACGAATAAAAGGTAAAGAAAGAAATAGAGACCGAAGAGGAAAGCCTCTTGTTTCTCTTCTGTTGATTTGCATTCTATTTTTGCCACAATTTATTTTCCAATTATTAATAAATCATTTATTTTAATTTATTTATTCACTTTTATTTATTTATCATTTCATTTTACTTTTAATTTGTTTTCACTTTTTATTTTCATTTATTTCCCTTTTTTCTCCCTTTTGACTCCTTTCGCTCAGCTGCCTTTTATTGCTGCCTGCAAAACAAAACAAACAAATTAAATAAATAAATAATAAACAAATAAATAAATGATAAATTAAATAAATAATAAATTAATAAATAAATAATAATGATTAAATAAATAATAATAATCAAAAAGCTTCAAACCCGGGAAGGCCCGAAAAGCAACGAGGAGGAAGTGAGGTGTACAGACACCTCACCCCCGCAGCCTCGCCCTCCACTTCTTCTCTTTTGCTTTTATTTTAATTCTCATTTAATTATTATTTCCTTATTGTTTATTCATTTATTTATTATTTATTTATTTATTATTTACTTATTTATTTGTTTGTTACCTTTTGAGCTACGATTCTGGGGCCCGCTTCTTCCCACTCTGCCTTCGTTATCCAGAGGTGGTCCTAAAAGCAAACAAATAAATTAAATAAATAAATAAATTAGTTAATTAATTAATTGACTAATTAATTAAGTTTAATTAATTAAACAATAATTAATTAAGTTTAATTCATTAATTAATGAGGGCTTCAGGAGACAAACAGACAAATGGCGCACAAAAACAAAGAAACTAGAATTTGCAAAAAAGACAAACCCAAAAATCAAATTAAAAGGATAAAATAAAAATATAAAGTCAAAACACAAATCCAAGAAACAAAATTAAGAAAGAAAATTGAGAAGCATAAAAACCCAAAATAAAAACGCTAAAAATAAATAGAAACAAAATAAAAACAACTAAAAACGAATAAAAATGAAACACAATGAATAAAAGCGAGAATAAATCAAGGAATAAATCAAAAAACATCAAAAACAATTAAAAACAAATAAAAACAAAACAAAACAAACAAAATAAACTAAAAACAAAAACAAAAATCACAAAAACTCTTCAACGCGCCCCCCCAATTTCCGGCGCGCGGCCAACCCAGCTCCAAATCCGGCGCTACAAACGGAATTAAAAAGCGAATTAATAAACAAATTAAGCACATTTATTATTTATTATTATTTATTTTTTATTTTTATTTATTTATTTATTTATTTATTTATTTATTTATTTATTTATTTACTTGGAGAGGCCTGAGGGCCGCGTCGCAGAAGCACTTGGCGCCGAGCCAGACGAGGAACTGGCGCTGGGGGGGCGCGTCGACTTTGACGAAGCCGCGGGCCTGGGGGGGCGAAGTGTTTTGGAGTTCGAGTTCGAGTCTGAGGCAATTTGGGGCCAAAAGAAGAACTTTTGGAACCAAATAAACCCCAAATTCGAACTCCCCGCACTCTCCTTTCCATACTGCGAAAAATTCCCAAGTTTTTACTCACTTTTGGCCAAAAACGGAAAAAAACTTCTACCCATTCGCACCACTTTGTTCTTTTGTTTTGTTCTATTTTGTTTATTTTGTAACTGTTTTAGTGTTCTATTTGTTTATTCATTTATTTATTTATTTTCTTACTTGTTCATTTATTTATTTATTTACTTATTTGTTCATTTATTTATTTATTATTTGTTTGTTTATTTACTTATTATTTCTTTACTTATTCGTTTTGTCTTTCTCCATGCGGTGAAGTTGATTTGTTTATTACTTTTACTTTTTTGGTTTTCTCCTTTTTTGAAATTCAGGTGTCCAGACACCCGGTTTCTCTGCGTGGTTTGTCCTCGTCGTTTTATTTTAATTTAATTTTTTATTTTTTTTTAAATTCATTTTAAAGTTTCACTTTTAATTTTATTATTTTCATTTTGCTTTAAATTCACTTTAAAGTCCCACTTATTATCAATTTAAAGAAAGTCCAAATTAACTCCGGGAAAGCTTGCTGCAGCGGCGCTGCAGCTCTAGGGACTACGGGCTAGGGTTTAGGGTTTAGGGTTTAGGGTTTAGGGTTTAGGGTTTACCGCTCTGGGAATCCGGGGAACATAGTAGAGCCGCCACACAGAATGACATTTGCCACAAGGCTCTTGCGGCTTTCTATCGGGCAGGCCTGCAGCAGCAGCAGCAGCAGCAAAAGGACCATAGCAGCAGCAGCAGCAGCAAAAGGACCATAGCAGCAGCAGCAGCAGCAAACGAATCAACAACAATAGAAGCAGCAGAAAAGCAGCAGCAGCAGCAGCAGCAGCAATTTGAGGCGCGGCCCGCTGCCTCCAGCGCAACGAGCGCGGGCCTCTGCTGCGGCTCCAACCCCACGGCCTAGGGCCCAGAGCTTAGGGTTTAGGGTTTAGGGTTTAGGGTTTAGGGTTTACTTTGACGGAAGACCACAACAAGTCCGTCAGCGAGGGATTGTCGCGGCCGCAGAGCTGCGGGTTGAAGAGAGCCTCAGCAGGGTAGAAGCGCTCGGGGCCCAAAACTATTTCCCTAAATAAATAGAGAATAAATAAATAAATTAATTAATTAATTAATTAATTAATTAATTACTAATAAATAATAAATATATAGAGGGGAATGGGCCAGTTGGTGTGCCAGCAGCACAAAAAACGGCGCAAAAGCGAAGAAATGAACCCCCAAAACACCCAGTAGGGTTTAGGGTTTAGGGTTTAGGGTTTAGGCACGTGGTTTCGCCGTCTCTGAGAGTAAGGCCGTCGGGGAGGCGGTAGGTCCTTTCCAAGTCTGTCCTTTGCTGATCAGCTGTGCAGACAACCCAGAAAATTAGGGTTTAGGGTTTAGGGTTTAGGGCTGCGGACATCGGGCTCAAAAACTAGCAATTGCGCCTTACACTTGAGGCCCAAGGGTGCCTAGGCCTAGGGTTTAGGGCCTTGGGCTGGCGCCTCAGATTTAGCGTTTAGGGTTTAAGGTTTAGGGTTTAGGGTTTAGGGCTTGGAGTGTACGTACAGGCTGGGTCGAGGGAGCAGAAGCAGAGGGTCTCCTTGATAACCCTGACGTGCTCCTAAATAAAAATAAAAAATAAATAAATAAATAAAATAAATAAATAAAAATATATCAATAAGTTCCTGCATGCAAGGCAAGGGTTTCAGATTTAGGGTTTAGGGTTTACGGATAAGGGTTTAGGGTTTGTACGTAGTTGTCTCGGGTGGTCATCTGGTCGCAGTTGAGGGTTTAGGGTTTAGGTGCTCGGCTCTACCGGGTCTCGCTGCCAAGTCCCCGGGCTTGGCA